ATCATTTTCCTTATTATCCTTAATATCATCATTATCCTTATTATCCTTAATATCATCATTATCCTTATTATCCTTAATATCATCATTATCCTTATTATCCTTAATATCATCATTATCCTTATTATCCTTAATATCATCATTATCCTTATTATCCTTAATATCATCATTATCCTTATTATCCTTAATATCATCATTATCCTTATTATCCTTAATATCATCATTATCCTTATTATCCTTAATATCATCATTATCCTTATTATCCTTAATATCATCATTATCCTTATTATCCTTAATATCATCATTTTCCTTATTCCTTATCATCTTTATCATAATTTTATTTATGTAGCGACGTCCCCCCTATAAACAATGAAGGAAAACTGAAAAAAAGGTTTAATTGTTTTTCAACATTTCTAAAAGAAAATTAAATTAAACGTAGCAGGTTGTGACTGTAATTGGTTAATTGAAAAATGTAATTAATGGAACACTTCCTCATCTATTATTTAAAAATATATTTCATTTATCCTGTAATTGGACTGCACAAAGAATATGAGTTATCAAAATCGCTTCTTTTATACAATAAAAAGATATTGAAAAATGAAAGAATGAATTTCAGGAAGGTTCTCGACCTAAACATTTTTTTAAACTTTAGAATAAACTTAAATTCATAATAAAGATTTTTGGATTTTCTCATTTTGATTTTCCGTCAAATTTTTAAGATTAACATAAAGCTAGCAATTAGAGATTCACCTCAATTTTTTTATTTTTATTTTTGTGCTCAAGGTTCTTGTTTCAACGGAAAAAAATACAGAGTAAGTTAAAAATCTAAAATGTTTGTGAAAATTGAACACCTTACTAGCATTAAATGTACGTTGTACACTTTGAACTTTGCAGTGTACAATGCTTTTCACTATACACTGAGCTGTATTCTATGAACTCCTTGTATAGGAGCTTGATCTTGCCTGTGATACTGCTTTGCTAAGTATGACGAGGATAAACTGGTCTCAAGTTCATCAGGTTAGATTTNAAATATTTTTCCTCTTTTTTTAAGGTTTTTGACTCATTGTCATTTTTGGTCAATCGGTATGATTTGGAATTATTTCCTTCTGCCATTTTTGGAATAATTACATTTGATTTTTTAGGAAATATTTTACCCAGTTTGCTGTGAAGTTTGTGTCTAGTTTTATTCCTAAGTTTATCTCGATGGTTTACAAGTGTAAACCTCTCTCTACTGTTGGAGCGGAACAGCTTCTGCTGGATGCTCACAGCCTGAAGGTAAACACAACTGAGGTCGTGAAAGCAAGAAACAGCTTAACTTTAGCAATATCACTTAGCAGAATCACTAGTAATCGATCTTGACTGCACTGGTGAAGTGTTTTCGAACTGTGTGTACATCTAAAGTTGAACTATTTATTGTAGTTCATTAAATCCCGACCTGTGGTAGAAACTGTTTTATAAAACAGAGCCGATCTTTGCATCTTAATTAAGCGGATAACTACAGCAAAATGTTTTAAGTAGAAGCGATGACTGTAACATTATTTGTGGCTTTTATTTGATCGGACCTGGGACTAGATTTGATGAACACCAAACCACATACGGCCTAAGCAAGCTGTAGTGAAGTGGTTAATTTAATAAAAGTAGTTGAACTACTTCTTCTTTTCATTAAATCTGGTCCCTGAATTGAATTTATGTTTAGACAGTATTGATGGATTTACCTAATATTTGCGAGAGTGCTGCCCTCAAACCAAACCGGAAAGCACCATCAGCCTTTACAAAGGTCGTCGTTAAAGGTCAGTTTTAAAGTTTAGACATTTTGATACTCATGATACAGTTTTTCGTATAACTTCTTGTTAGGTTCCGCGAACTCTAACCCTGTTCTTGCCAAACATAATTCATTTTCATAAGAAAGAATATTTTTTTATAATTTATTGTCTTGTAATTATACAACTTTGTTTTTGGCAATGAGATTGTAACTTAAAGGATGAGGAGAGTGATTGGTTACATATAAGTGTGACGTAATAGGACAGCTAGAGAACTAGTTTAACTGTAAACACTGAAAAAGATTTTAAACAAACTCTGTTTACAATTGAAACTAGTTTTAGAGCTGTCACAATATGCCACTTCAGAATGTAAATAAACCCATTCATCGTTCTTCTTATGTCTAAGCCCCTTTTGTTTAGAACCTTTTAATTAAGCACCTAATGTTTTCTAATTTGTTGACGTTTTTACTGTGACGTATTAGAACAGTTAAAAAACTGGTTTTATTGTAAACAGTAATAATGATTGTAAAGAATGGTGTTTGTTCTGAATTGAAACTAGTTATAGAGTTGTCCCAATGCTTTAAAAGCACTTCTTAGTTTTATATCTTTTTGTTTAAAAATAAAAATGCTTATCAATGACATGCATGAAGTTGTAGAAGAATTTAAAGAAGGAAAAGTTTAACGCATTATATGTAATTACCTATAAATACTAAATAGCTGTAAGAATTAATCATAATTTTAATCTTTATCTTAATAATTATGCCTAGACCCTGATGCTACTGAGCTGGGTAAGCTTCTTGAGATGAAAGGATTGAAGCGCAGTGATCAGTTGACCTACATTGAGATGTTTAAGGAGGCAAATAAACAGGTGTGTCGATTTTCCTTTAACAATTTGAATTTTTATTACCCTATTCCCTCATTTTTTCTCCCTCGACCCTATTTCCCCACCCTGGCCCTTGTCTGCACCCACTTACTTCATGTCCCCTTCATCCTTACCACTCTGTTACCATCCCTCAGTCCTCGCCCCCCCTCCCTCAATCCTCAACCCTCCTTAGGGGGTATATCTTTGTTAAAAAGTTAATTTTCCTCACAATTCGTAGGCATGTTTGTTTTTATTTGCTGAATAAGGGAACGTGAAAATATTTAATTTTTTAATAAAAAGTATCAAAAAGGATGAAAAAATCTCGTTTTTTAACCAAGCTTTCAAGTTTTTCCCCAATGCATTGAAATTCAAATTATAAAAATAGATACCCCTGCCCTTAATCTGTCCACCCCCTTAATCCCGTTAGCGTTTAAATGAATGAAATGAAATTCAAATTAATTACTATATTTTGGAGTTTTATAAAACATTTTTTTTTTTATCATCAAAAGAAGTTTAATTTTTATTCTAAATTTTGTTACAAATAGAACGACGAAAGCTATTTTGATATGCAAAAAGTAGAAAAAATAAAAATTACAAAATAAAAACCAGATGAAAATGGAAAATTTGAATACTTAGTTAAGAAGATTTTTTAATGTTATTAATCTTTAATTTATATCTATTAATTTTAGGGCTGAATTGCAAATTGACTAATAAAAAGGTTTTGATTTTGTTTTTCTGTTTTTTTTCTCACGTTTTTGGGACAGCAATTAACTTACAAGTGTCCACAAATAACAATAGTAATAATTTAAATGGCAGTGTGTTTTTTTGGTTTTATCATTAAATTGCATGTATTTGGTTTGGGTTTTAATTCTTATATATTTTCGGTAGTTGCAATAAAACACGAATATTAGCACAATCTTATATTATTATTCAATGGTTCTACTTTAGTTCTCCACGTTCATGGATAAATTATAATTTCAAAACCAATAGTTGTTGTTAACCACAGTACTATTCAAACCAAAGTAGTATTTATCAAATGAAACTGTTAAAAATCCTTGATTTTTTTTTTGGTATTTTTTCTCATTTTGTTCTTAAATAGCCAAAAAGAAAATTTATCTGAATAATGAAATAACACCAATTATGGAAGGGCGTTTTATTTTTTAGCACATTATCGGTTCACAACTTTTATTATATATTTTCACATAGTACTTTTCATTGTGAGTGATTTTTCCCCCTTTCTGAAATGATTTTTTTTTGTTTTAGGAGATTTTGAATCCATCAAATGGAAACTCTTTGCCAGGTGGGAGTTTTTAAATAGTCGTTTTTTGTTTGTTTTCCAGAACATTAAATGATTCGTTTATGGTGGAGGGGGGGGAAGGCAAGCCGCACCCGAATAGCCTCCATCCTGCAATTTACTCACAAACATAGAAGGGCGGCAGCACTCTCACCCGTAGCGCTTCCTTAGCCGCGTCCCTATATCCTCAATCAAAATGTCTTGCGATTTCTCCTAAAATATAATATTCAGTACATGCCTGTGGATGTTGATCTTCTTTAAAAATGTTTTGAAGGAAGAGAGAAATTCAATTTTTACCTAAAATAACACAGTTTGGCATGCAATTTGGTTTGAAGTTATCTAAATCCATCTATCTTTCTACCTATCAGATTTTAGATAATTTAAAACCGAATCGCAGGCAAAACTGCGTTATTTTTGTAAAGATTGAATTTTTCTCCTTACCTTCATAAACATTTTTCGGGAAGATCAACATCATATTACATTTTAGAAGGAAATCGTAATTAATCACAGTTTAAACAAAAATTTAACAACTATTGCCCCAGTGAGCCAGATTGTTTACTCATATTACCAAAAAAAAATATGATTATTATGTTCAGGTTATTATAGATGCCAATCTTAAATAAACGCTGCATTTTTCTATAATAAGCATTTTAAAGACATTTTGCTGGAGGATATCTGGGTGTGACTAAGGAAGCGCTACGGTTAAGCGCGTTGCCGCAACTCTATATTTGTGAGTAAATTGCGGGATTGATGGTATACGGCTTGCCATCCTCCCATGGGGGGGGGTGTTGATATTCAAATCTAGTTTGAAGGAGTTGGAGGTTGATATTAAAACATAAGTTCTTTTAGAAGGGGTGATTTTAAAGGAGTGAAGGGTGTTATAGGAAAATGTGTAGTGTGTATTGTGTAGGGTTTCCAGCGAAATGGGAAAATCTTTTGTTTCGCAAAAAAATGTTACAATTTTTCGGTGAAATTGTCGCATATTTTTTCTTTTTTTTTACAAAATTCATCATAGTTTTTGCTTCCTTTCGCAAAATTCATCTTTGCGAAATAATGTGATATTTCGCGTAAAAAGTTTGTGAAATACTAGAACAAAAAAATTCACGATAGTTTTCGTTCGCTGGAAACCCTAGTACTGTGTGTCCCTTCAACGAAGTATGAGATCGTACTGCATCATTTCCCTAAGTCTGTCTCCACCCTATCCCTCTGATTTTTACATTGATCTTCTTCTATACAAAAATTAATTCATCTAAAGCCTGAGTAATTAATTCATCTAAAGCCTGAGTAATTAATTCAAATCGGTGTTTCTGTTTTTCTAATTTTCTAATGTTATTATGACCAACCTGTAAGAACGAGTGAATACTTCTCAGAAAAGTCAAAGATTTTTAAGAGAGGGGGTAAAATATTCAGCTGGGCTTAAAGGTTGAATTGAAAATTGAAACATACAATTAATTGCTATTCCCACCCCCTCAATTCTTTTATTTTTCTTCTTTTTCTCAACCTTTATCTTCTCTAATGGTTTTTATACATCTAAGGTTCTCCCAGTACTCAGCTGTTGACGGAGCAGTCTAGGATTAAGAAATTAGAAAAACTTATCAAAAAAAGACTCTAGTTTCTCAATTCAAGATTTGTTAGAGTATATCAGTGATGGTCTTCATTCCAATATATCTAATTTTATAAGTTTAATCACACAGATAGGACAAAAGGAGTAGAAGTTGTTTGTGGTCGGTAACTTATCGTACATAATAACCCTTCGAGGTTGTACAGGCCACGGGATTTCACTTAATCCACACCGGTGTCGTACATCAGTTCACCTTCCTGTGACAGTGTACATGCCCCTAGTGTTTTAACCATTTTAACGCAATGTTATGTTAGACATAAGAAGCGATATTGAAACATTTAAAATTATTAGTTAACATAAAAGCGCATTTAGTGATAAAAAGTATTATTGAAATTGAAGGGAAAAGCGCCAAAAAAGTTATTTCCTCGCATATGTCGCATGTCTTTCAAATTATCAAAAATACATTAACAAATATCGGCAAATGTCAAAACCTCTCTAAAATTGTGTTGAAATGTTGAAAGCAGTTAAACACTAGGAGGAAGTGAACTGTCGCAAGGAAAAGTTTGGATGCATGACACCGGGCCAAAATGGTAGTTATCTAGAAATAAGGGGACCGTTCACTTATTTGGGTAATTTTATGGTAAACTAAAAAGCCTAGTAGCTATTCATTGGTATTAGTCTTACTTTTTAAAGATAACTATGACCAGAGAAATAGCCGATTGATCGCTTAGAATTCCAGTGCAAAGGTGTGATATCTTTGCATAGTCACTTTTTAAACGTTTTTTCAGTAACAGCAGCGCAAAAAAATTTAATATTTGAAAAAATTTAAATTCATGACATTAAATAGCATCAAAAAGCATCAAATAGTGTAAATGCTAAGGTTCCTTACCTTGGAATTCTAAACGAAAAATGGGCTTTTTCTCTGGCCACGGTTGTCTTTAAAAAATAAGGACTAATACCAATGAATAGCTAATAGGGTTTTTAGTTTACCCTCAAACTATCCAAATAAGTGTACTGTCCATTCTAAGATTACAATTGACAAATGTTCACGCGTTGGTCCAAAATTATAAATACAGTTCGAGACCTAACAACTACCTTTCTTGTCCAATCTTTGTAATCTGTGTAAAATTTGAATTTGTACAGTGTACGATTAGCATTTATGTGATAATGTACCTTTTATCTGTGATCTGATGTTAAAGATGTTTCTAGTTTTATCTATGTTATTTATTTATATTTGTTTTTGTAGCACTGAGGATCCGGATCCATTGGATTCGAAATATTGTGGTTTCCTGGATCCGGATCCATTGGATTCGAAATATTATGGTTTCCTGGATCCGTATCCGGATCCATCGGATTCGAAATATTGTGGTTTCCTGGAACCGGATCCATTGGATTCGAAATATTGTGGTTTCATGGATCCGTATCCGGATCCTCAAAATATTGTTGATTCACGAATTTGGATTTAAAGGGACTGTAAGCGTAATTTCAAGTGGCCCTTCATGCAAAGATGACAATGCTCAACTCAGAGAAGTACCCTTGAATCCTTTATCTGCTCATTAATTTAGAAGATATTGTCGTTTTTCTAGGTTTAACGTTTTTTTTCTGTAAATTTGCAGTAGAAATGCGCCAGTCCCTTTGTAGAAATACCACAAAATGAAAAATACCAGTTTTTCAAAATTCTAAACATTGATAACTAATTCATGCTTGATTAGACAATGCTTTTAAGGGTGCTCTTATGAATCCGTAATTGTCCTCTTTGCACGGAGAGTCACTTGAAATTAAGCTTTCAGTCCCTTTAGAAATGAGCTAGTTAAAGATTGGACAAATCTTCTTGATTTCTCATTGGTTCATTAAAAACAGATCATTTGGATCCAAATCAAAATTAAAAATGTTTTAAAAAACGTATTTTTTTCTAGATATGATTTTTACTGAAATTAGTTTTATTTTCATGCAAACAATTGTTGGTGTCTTCTTTTTTATCTAAATATCTTAAATTTGGTTAAATACGCATGAAAAAATACGATTAAAGGTTTAAAGGAATTTTTTTATCCCCCTCCCATCTTCATTCTTTTTTCAGCTCTGCAGTTAAATTGGCACTGGTAATTTATTGTTTGGTGAAAAATAAGTTCTGATTTTTCTATTTTCAGATAAAATATAAAATATGGCGAGTCAGACCCAGGGGATTCAACAACTGTTGGGAGCTGAGAAGCGTTCTGCAGACAAGGTTTTTATAAACATTTATTTGGTTACGTGCGGAATTGCGCCTCGTTGCCCGTGAAATAAAAAAAAATATTTTTTAGTCTATGTTACTCATGGGGTACTTACTACCTATGGGTTCTCTCAAAAAATGTCATCCGTTTGGCCAGCTTTGGCTAACATATACATATATATGTATTATGTATATTGTATATATGAGCAAAGAGCTTTATTATTTAGACGATCTGAGTAAATTTCTAGTCTACTATCTATTTTGTTTTCCAAAAAAATTATTTTCGTAAATTTTAGAAAATCAACGAAAAAATATGGTTAAATCTGCGACGTTTTTTCTTTTTGTTTTATATTGTACGAAGAGATAATGCTCTGAGATAGAGCCATCATTTAAAGTTAAAATAGAAAATGGGTGCAAAGCGCTCTAAGAGCCCAGTATGATCGGAACTATGTGTGAAGGTTATTATTTCTCCCAAATAAATCAAAACCTTGTTATTTAGGATATGTTTACAATAATTCAAGACCGCTATAAACCGTTTATGTTTGTAATCTATGTTTACTAATACAACACCGCTATCTTTGGTCCTATCTATGTAAACTATGTTCACTAAAACAACACCGCTTTCTTTGGTCCTATCTATGTAAACTATGTTAACCTTAAACAACACAGTTACTTATGGTCCTATGTAAACCGCTATCTTTAGTCCTTTCTATGTAAACTATGTTAACCTTAAACAACACAGCTACTTATGGTCATATGTAATCTATGTTTACTAATACAACACCGCTATCTTTGGTCCTATCTATGTAAACTATGGTAACCTTAAACAACACAGTTACTTATGGTCCTATGTAATCTATGTTTACTAATACAACACTGCTGTCTATGGTCCTATCTATGTAAACTATGTTAACATTAAACAACACAGCTACTTATGGTCCATGTAATCTATGTTTACTAATACAACACCGCTATCTTTGGTCCTATCTATGTAAACTATGTTCACTAAAACAACACCGCTTTCTTTGGTCCTATCTATGTAAACTATGTTAACCTTAAACAACACAGTTACTTATGGTCCTATGTAAACCGCTATCTTTAGTCCTTTCTATGTAAACTATGTTAACCTTTAACAACACAGCTACTTATGGTCATATGTAATCTATGTTTACTAATACAACACCGCTATCTTTGGTCCTATCTATGTAAACTATGGTAACCTTAAACAACACAGTTACTTATGGTCCTATGTAATCTATGTTTACTAATACAACACTGCTGTCTATGGTCCTATCTATGTAAACTATGTTAACATTAAACAACACAGCTACTTATGGTCCATGTAATCTATGTTTACTAATACAACACCGCTATCTGTGGTCCTATCTATGTAAACTATGTTTACTTAACACCGCTTTCATCTTTGTTATTTATGTTAACAATATTACAAGACCCCTATATACCGTCTTATGTATGTAATCTATGTTTACTAATATAACAGCGCTATCTATGGTCCTATCTATGAAAACTATGTTAACTAAAACCACTTATGGTCCTATCTGTGTAATCTATGTTTACTAATACAACACTGCTGTCTGTAGTCCTATCAATGTGAAGTTTGTTAACTAAAACAACACCGCTATTTATGGTCCTATCTATGTAATCTATGTCTTCTAATACAACACTGCTGTCTACTAATGTTTACTAATACAACACCGCTATACCGCTTTCATCTTTGTTATCTATGTTTACAATAATTCAAAACCGCTATATACCGTTTATGTTTTTAATCTATGTTTACTAATACAACACCGCTATCTTTGGTCCTATCTATGTAAACTATGTTAACCTTAAACAACACAGTTACTTGTGGTAAATACAACACCGCTATCTGTGGTCCTTTCTATGTAAACTATGTTAACCTTAAACAACACAGTTACTTATGGTAAATACAACAACGCTATCTGTGGTCCTATCTATGTAAGCTATGTTTACTTAACACCGCTTTCATCTTTGTTATGTATGTTAACAATATTACAAGACCCCTATATACCATCTTATGTATGTAATCTATGTTTACTAATATAACAATGCTGTCTATGGTTCTATCTATAGTAAACTATGTTAACCTTAAACAACACAGCTACTTATGGTTCTATCTATGTAATCTATGTTTACTAATACAACACTGCTGTCTATGGTCCTATCAATGTAAACTATGTTAACTAAAACAACACCGCTTTTTATGGTCCTATCTGTGTAATCTATGTCTACTAATACAACACTGCTGTGACGGTGTCTATGGTCCTATCTATGTAAACTATGTTAACCTTAAACAACACAGTTACTTATGGTCCTACTCCTATGTAATCTATGTTTACTAATACAACACTGCTGTCTATTGTCCTATATATGTAAACTATGTTTACTAATACAACACCACTATCTTTGATCCTATCTATGTAAACTATGTTTACTTAACACCGCTTTCATCTTTGTTATGTATGTTAACAATATTACAAGACCCCTATATACCGTCTTATGTATGTAATCTATGTTTACCATTATAACAGCGCTATCTATGGTTCTATCTATGAAAACTATGTTAACTTAAACAACACCGCTTCTTATGGTCTTATCTATGTAATCTATGTAAAATATCTTTACTAATTCAACACCGCTATCTGTGGTCCTATCTATGTATTGTAAACTATGTAAGCTAAAACAATTGTCGCTATTTATCTATGTAATCTATGTTTACTAATGCAACACTTTTATCTATGGTCCTATCTATGTAAACTATGACTGAAATATCTGCAGGTAAATGAAGCAAGGAAAAGGAAGAATAGAAGATTAAAGCAGGCTAAGGAGGAGGCTCAACTAGAGATTGAGAAATATAAACAAGAAAGAGAAAAGGCATTCAGGTAGTTTCTAATTTTTTCAAAGATAGGAGTGGGGGAATTAAACATAACCATGAGAAATGAGGATATTATAATTTGTTTGATTGATTGATTGAAAAATATGGCTTAACTGGGATCTTGGATGAATTAATGAATTAGCTTATTATTTTATTTAATTGATATATTAGGTAATTCTTTGATTGATTTATTGACATATTAGATAATTATTTGATTGATTAATTGACATATTAGCTAATTATTTGGTTGATTATTTGACATATTAACTAATTATTTGATTGATTAATTGACATATTAACTAATTATTTGATTGATTAATTGACATAATAGCTAATTATTTGATTGATTAATTGACATAATAGCTAATTACTTGATTGATTATTTGATATATTAGGTAATTATTTGATTGATTAATTGACATAATAGCTAATTATTTGATTGATTAATTGATATCTTAGCTATTTATTTGATTCAATAATTGATAGATTTCCATACTAGTTTCTTAAAAAATTAATAAATTAGTAAATCGATTTTCCAATTGTTCGATTGATAATTGATAAATTAGCGAACTGTATGATTGATAAATTAATAAACTAGCTAATCGTTTGATTGATTTATTGATATCTTAATTATCTAATTATTTGATGAATAATTTATAGATTTCCAGATTATTTCCTTAATTATTAATAAATTGATTTACTAATTAATTACCGAATAGTGAATTAACGATGAAAATATCAAAATACTAATATTTTTATTATTGCTTAAATGTTCTAGATAATATTTGATTGATTGATTGATTGATTGATTGATCAGTGATTTGATTTATTGACTGATTGATTTCTGTAAAGGGAAAATGAGGCTAAACATCATGGATCTAAGGAGGACATTGCTTTGAGGATAGAGGCAGATACTAAGGTTAAAATAGAGGCCATGAATAGAAGTGTCGCAGCAAATAAAGATAAGGTGACTTTGATACTTAATTGGAGGTTCATAAGATTTTTAAAAAGAAAAAAACTTTATTTTCAAAATAAAATATTTTTTTTTATCAAAAAAAATCATTTGTTTTCTATCATAAAAGATTAGTAAGCTGGTCATTACTATTGATTGTATCTGGAAAAGAAATCATAACAACTTAGAAATCTATACTGCAGACTAACTGAAAAGCTTGGCGTTGCCCGTGGAATTAGAATAATTGAATTTTTATCAAAAAATTCTAATTTTGAAGAAAAAAAAATCGAATTTATTTTAGCATTTATTTTTCCTACTCCCAGAGTACCCCCAGGAGTTCCCTCAAAAAATATTTTAGCCATTTAGTCCAGCCGTTTGGCCAGCTATAGCTAATATATGAAAATATATATTTATATATATATCAGTTGAAACGCAACAATCTTCTTATAACATTTAATTCCTAAACAAATTGTTTCATGCTTTTATGCATTCATCAGTATGAATGATTTGAGAATTATATATATATATATGAGCGAAGGCCTTTATTAAATAGATTACTAGCTGAAGTACCCGGCGTTACCTGTGAAATAAAAAAAGTTTTTTTAAGTCTTATGTTATCCCTCGGGTTTATGGGTTCCATCAAAAAATATCAGCCAATTTGGTCCAGCCGTTTGGCCAACTTTGGCTAACATATAAATATACAAATACATATACGAAGAGCTTTGTTATGAAGATCAGTAAACTGTCCCTGAATGCATTTATCCAAATTCTTTATCTCATATTTCAGCCAATTATGAACTCATTTAGATCAACTTATTTTTATTTGTAACATTTTTTTCATAAATAAATCTCAACAAAATTTTAAGGTGATGAATTATGAATTGATGCGTAATATTTTTATTTTTATGTTTTATAATGGTTCTGGGAAAAATTTCAATTTTTGAGTGATATTTGAGAAAAATATTGGATAGTTTTGGTTTATATCAAAAGAGTACCAAATATTATGACGTGTCCTGTGCCCTCTTTTTAAATTCAAAAACTTTGCATTAAAATAACAAGTTAATAAATCTTTGTTATAGGTGATTGAGTCATTGATTGGTCTGGTAGTTGATATCCAGCCTAAAGTTCACAAAAACTATAGAACTGCCTAGAACTGCTCCAGCGAAGTAAAACTTAGTCTGACAAAACATATTAATTACATTGTGATAAATTTACTTGTTCATCAATGGAATCATGACATTTATTTATGGCTTAGAGGTGCGAATGCGTTTTTTTTAACTACAAAACTGTGTTGCTATTTAAACTGTCCTTTGTTTGAAACCGGTTTTTGTCAGAATAAGATCGGAGGTGAGAACTTATGTATTATAAATCTCAGGATCAAGCATTGATCTCCATGTTAGGCTGATTTATGGATTAATTTAATTCCTCTTCGATATCACGTGATGGTCATACCCTTACAGGATAATTTCAATTAAGGGATCAAGCATTTAAAAATGCCATCATTGGATATCGAGATCAAGTGTTTCAATTTAACATTATCCACACAATAGTTCCGATCTCTGCTCCCATTATGTCTCATAGTCTTATTTGAAAGCTAGATAATAAGACGAACACAGCCGAACATTAATGTAAATTCAACTAAGAGATGAGACGTGCATTGGATATCGAGATCAAGTGTTTCAATTTAACATTATCCACACAATAGTTCCGATCTCTGCTCTCATTATGTCTCATAGTCTTATTTGAAAGCTAGACAATAAGACGAACACAGCCGAACATTAATGTAAATTCAACTAGGAGATGAGACGTGCAGAGAATTTTGTCCTTATAAATCTGACTCAATGTGATTTAATTTTGACAAGAACTGGGATCGGGTTGTAGATTGTACTTTTCCAGATAGAATGAGATACAAGCTCCGGAGTTCGATCCCACCTCGGCTCTCGGAGCCTAGAGGATCCAACTCAGAGTATCCGACATCAAGCGATCCAGCCACAGGTTTATTTTCCCCTTCCTACTTTTCCCTTTTCCAAACCTTTCCCCAGTATTACTCCTCTTACCTTCCCTCACCGCTTTTTTCCCCCTGACCCCGTCCACCTTCTTTGCCCTTCCCCTGTTGGCCTCCTTTTCCCTCCCCCTCCCGCCTTCTTTTCATTCCCTTGTCAGTCTCTTTTTTTCCTTTCCCGTTCACTTTCTCTTCCCTTCCTTCACCGGCGTCCTTATCCCTTCTACTTTCTTTTCCCCTCCCCATTTCAACCTCCTTTTTTCCTTTTCCCGTCCACTTTCTCTTCCCTTCTTCTGTCCCCCTCCTTTTTCCTTTCCTGTCTTTGTTCTTTTTCCTTCCTCCTATTCGCCTCCCTTAAACCTTTCAAATTGAAAGTGTACTTGCGTTAATATTTTTTCAAATCAACTTTCCTCCCAAATACGTCTTTCTACATTTACCTATGTTCCTTGGTTTCCTTTTTCTGTGTTAACATTTAATCTATATTTAAATTTAAAATGGAAAGCAAAGTAATATTTAGGAAGTAATATCATATTAATATCTACTAAAATTAAAGGGAGTGGCCGGCAAGGTATGGTAGTTGAACTGAGGATGTAGTATTGTGGAGAAATTTTTTAAGAATCATTGAGGACCTATGAGACGTTTTACAGTGCATATTTGTTCTGCAAGAGCGNAACTGAGAATGTAGTATTGTGGAGAAATTTTTTAGGAATCATTGAGGACCTATGAGACGTTTTACAGTGCATATTTGTTCTGCAAGAGCGCAAATTCTATCTTTAAAATCCTTTTAGATTGTTCATTTTTGAGAGATGATTTTGAGAAACGGTTTTTTAAATAATTTTTCAATAACGACGACGAAAAATGCAGCCTCTAGAAAATGTAGTGTCACAAAGTGTGGAATTGTCCCCCTATCCTTAAAAAAAAATCCTGATATTTTCCTGAAGCTATTTCCACCTAAGTACATCAAGTTAGAGCAAAAAATATTTTCGCATTTTAATACTAAGGGTTGACATCACCCAAAGAACCTCTGCGCCTTTTGATTTTATGACTTTCACTTCCTCGTGTGTCACCCTACTATATATAAAGTACACAGCGGGAACCATGAAACGTTTGTCTGAGTTAAAAAACATTATCCTTATTTTTCTCTTTTAAAAATGAAAAATTTTTCTATTTGTCTGATTTTCAATTTTATTGACTTTTGGACGTATGCAGAAGAACAAGTTAAAAACTATGATATTTTCCACATTGCTACACAGATATATGTCTTAAGGGTACTGTTGTTTATTGGGCATGCAACTCTTTCATAGAAGGTTTACTTTAAATAACCTAAATTATTTATTTTAAGAGACATTAAGCGTAAGTTCAAGTGATCCTCTGTGGAAAGATGGCAATGCCCGATTTACAACGGTATCCTTAAAAGCTTTGTCTGATCAAATGTTTATTGGATATTAATGTTTTTCAATTTTGTTTCTCTACAAAAGTGACTTGCGCATTTCTTCTGCAGGAAAAAATATAGGAATTATCATGGTTACCCCCTTATAAACCTAGAAAACCAACAATATCTTCCACATTATTAATCAGTTAAAGTTTTCAAGTATAACGTTGTGAATCGGGCATTAGCATCAATGCAAGAAAGTTCAATTGAAAATTTGCTTACAGTCCCTTTAAGTAGTAATATTTCTTCAGAATTCTATTTTTTTTTTACTTTAAAATATCCAGGAAAAAGCGGAGGAGGGACTGTACAATCCAAGAAGAGAACGCACCGAAGAAAAACTCACATCACTAAAACCGAGACTCTGGCAACATTAGTCAAGAAAGAATTGACTCCGAACATATTCGTCCTGCCGCAGGTATCCATGACTAATTGGTTGGGGGGGGGGGAGAGGTTATGTGCAAAAAAGTCCTTGAATCCCCCTACCTACATCCCACCTCAAAATTTAGTTTTTTCCTCATATTAGTAAATAAGAGTTATTACTTTTTAATCCAGTTAATGGAAAATTTTTAAGTTATAAAACAAAGATGTCTGAAATCTTCATTTTTTCTTATTTTTTTATGTTGAAACTTGATTTAACCTTCTGTTCAGAATTTTTAATTAATTTTGAATCCCCCTCCAGCCTTAATGGGACTAAAGACGTATTTTCATTTTACAACGGTGCTCTTAAAACTGGTTCTGTATTAATAGTAGGGAAAGTTTTTAGATTTAGAAATCCACAATATTTAAGATGTTATTTAGATATTTTCCATGTTATTAAAGATTTAAGGGTACCGTTTTAATCGCACATGTCATTTGCCCTCTTTAATTGGAGTTTCACTTGAAATTACAACGACAATCCTTTAAATCTATTTTAGGAGATTATCATTCTTTTCGTTGAGATCTTAGATGTAGATAGTTGCTTATCCCTTTACAGGTATTTTGAATTTTTTAAAAATCCGGGTATTTTCTGAAAGTAATTGATTTAGACCCCCCCCCCC